TAGCTGTAGGCGTAACTGCGACTGTTAATCTGACAGAAATAAATGAAAGTAGATGAATAGACTTAAAGCCTATAGTGCGACTGCTATTTCACAAGAAGATAAAGATCAATTCAGGTAAAACAACGTGCAGTGAGAAAAGCGATCGTTGATCTCTAGAATTATCGCAGAACGCTGATGACTCAGCATTCGGCAAAAATTCGGTGCTATGACCTTGCACGTAAAACTATTTGGCGGAGCGACCGGAGGTCGCGGAGCCACTTGCGCCGAAAGTAACCCGGATATTCGATTTTCTTGCAATTCACACATCATGCACGTGACACGACGACAACGGCAACACAACAACATAAGCTTCATCATGCCGCAGAACAGACCAAATAAAAGGGGACCAATTCAAGGAGAGAAGAAAAGGAGAGAGGATGAGGCAGCTGCCGCAGGCAGCCTTTCACTGCGATCGTTTTTCCTCCCTGCAAACCAACCTGCCGCCAACCAACAAGCAGCCGCAGAACCATCAGACAAGGAAGAAGAGATTGGAAGAGAAGGTGAGGAGGAAGAAGCAACAGATGATGAAGATGGAGCTGAGACAATCATTGATGAAGAACATGACAATGATGAACATGAAAATGATAATGTTGACGATGCCGCCGCCGACAAAGGCACCCATTTTTGGCCTAAACACACCATGAATTGGTTTCGTGAAGTGAGGACGGAGATTGACGGAAAAGTTGCTTCCAAGGGTAGAGGCACAAACCTAAGCTTTGGTGGCCGACTTCCACAGAAATATTGTCAAAGAGTCTCCCCATCATCAGATCCACTCAGCTTCAAGTTAAGTGGAGCTCTAGATAGGGAAGATTTCTGTCTCCCCGATCTGCTAGTCTGGTTCCCTGAAGCTCAATGGCCGCGCCTCTACAAGGATTGTCGGCCACCTTGTAAGTGGCATGGTTGTACTGGATGTGTAGTGGTGAAAGGATGGGTGCAAAGCCCAAGACATTGTCATGATAGATTCCGAAGTGTGGCATTGATAGGCAGGCACTATGTGTGCAGCGCAAGACGCAATAATGGACAACCCTTCCATTTCCGTGGAGCAGAAGAGGTGCCTGAACTGGGGAGGAAAAGGAGAAGAGCGGAAAGAAGACCGAGAAAACTGAGACGATGCCGGAAGTGTGGGCAACAGTGGAGGGCTGAACTGTGGATTCAATATCATCAGATTCCAGTACCATCATCGGCAGGTACTGGAGGAAGGCCACAGAATCGCAACCTAGAAAATCGACCAGGACAAAAACCTACAGACTGTTGCACTGTTCCATTAGAATTGATAGCTGAAGGGTTTCCAATTGCAGCTGATACTCGGTTTCCTGCTCCCCAAAAAATCCCGTAGTAACTAGGTAGAGTGATACATAAAATCGATTATATAGTCACTGTAATTCTAAGTTGATGTGGACTTGTCATGTTGCAGTTGATGAAGTTGTTTAGATTATCAAACAGGAATGGAAAGTTTTCTTGAATTCGCGTCTGTACTTTGTTCACCCAATTTATGTTCGATTCAATCCTCGTCTGTACGCTGTTCACCCAATTAATGTTTAGCGTGGAAGTACTTTGATAGGTTCAAATCCACGCTAAACATTCACGCTAAACAAGGTCACAGCACCGCACCGTTGCCCAGCATTCTCTTTACTAAATCACTGGCGTGTAACGGTTCATGCACGTGCAACGCGTGCAAGACACGGGCTACACTTCAACCTGGTAATCCTATAGGTCGAGTCACGAGTCCCGTTCCTATTAGAATTCTGTCACTCTATAAGATGCAGCTTTTGATGCGGCTTTGGAGAAAACAGATCATATTCATGTGCCATTTCCATTGGATGGCGCAAGCTTATTATTATTGGTATGCAATAGAGATGTATTGGCTCCATTACTTTCCAGTGTAGCACCTTTGCCTAAGTAATTTATATTATCTTCATGACCGTATGCTCGGCGCATGGGCTATTTTTCCGCCCTCAATTTCTTTCCCGTATATTGTACGTACACAAGATATTAAGTACCAAGTCTAGGTGAAATAAAAAATTTCCAGGCTCCCAAAAGTAAAGGTACATGGAATTACTTTGCAAAACGACGGGGATGTACCGTCGCCAGTTAAGCAACTTAAATAATCAACCCCATTTTGAACTTTCTTCAAACAAACAGAATGGATATGCTGGACTCGAGATGACCTCCAAGATGGCAACCGTTCAAAAGAACAAAGAAGGATTCACTCCAAGACAAGTCAAGGCTGCGATGGAGGCGAGAAGTGCAATGCACATACTCAATGCTCCAAACACCAAAAGTCTGAAGTATGCGATCCGATCTGGTCTCATCAAGAACTGTCCTATCACCAAAGAAGCGATCAATCATGCCGAAGCAATCTTTGGACCTGACGCCTCTACATTGAAAGGCAGGTCAACAAGACCAACTCCGAAGAAGACGTACGACGACTTCTTCAGTCCACCAGAGGAATTATATCAGCACAATCGATCTATTACCGTCTGTATTGATCACATGGAGATCGAGAATGCTAAATTTCTCACCTGCATTGATACCACTGTGCGTTATCGCTCATGTATTCCTGTGCAGAACCTGAAGACTGACCCTGTATTTGAAGCATTGGATAAGATATTCCGCCGCTACAACAAGGCAGGCTTTCAAG